TGTTAGGCATCTTAGTATATCAAGTAGAAGTATTATAAAATATTATGCTGTCCTGACTTTTTAGGTTTTCATTGAAACTAGTAGATACTAATATTGGCTATAAAACTTAATTTTATATAGAAATTCTTTGTATTAATTAATTCCCACAATAATTCTGTGGAGTGAAATATTCTCTTTTTTCCTCTTCATAGATGAGGAAAGTGAAGCTAGGAAATACTAAGTAACTGGCTCCATGTCATATGGTTAGGGTTCAAACTCAGGTCTGGCGAGCAGTTGAAGGCTACCCTGCTTCTCATAACCTCACAAGTTAAGCAGAATTCATATGCAGAAGTTTTGTTTTGTTTGTTAAACAGTATTTCATCTGTTATGGATGAAAACGGAAGGCTGTGGTTATGACAAGGAGACTCAGGGAGCCGTAACCTGGGTGAAGGGAAGCATTCCAAATTAAGTTTACTTGGAATTTAAAAAAGAATACCCTCTACAATTAGCATATATAGTGCGTGGGGGACACGGGGAGTGCTGCACAACACAGAGAAGACAAGTAGTGATTTTACAGCATCTTACTACACAGATGGACAGTGACTGTGAAGGGGTATGTAGCGGGGGGGGACTTGGTGAAGGGGGGAACCTAGTAAACATAATGTTCTTTCTGTAATTGTAGATTAATGATACCAAAATAAAAAATAAAATAAAATAAAATAAACAAAAAAAAACAAATACCCTCTGTACAATGGAGGAATTACTATCTATTAGATGCCACAAAATGTACATCTCCTTGTTATTTTTATTTCTTGGCTCTCTGACTCTTTATCTAACCATATTAAGAATTGGAAAAGAAAAATAATTTTCAAAGTCTCTATTTGGAGTGCTTGACAGACAGCTGGTCATCTTGGCCATAAGTGAGCCTCAGAACTAGAGAAAAGTTGTTTTTTCTCTTCTTTCTCTTTTCTTTCTTTCTCTCACTTCTTACATTTATCATCCACGTCTTGCCTGTTCTTCCTAAGTTTCTCTAAGGACCACCTGGGTGTCTAGGAAGGGGGTTGAGGGATCCACCCTATATCAGAGGAGCTCAACATCACAGAATGGGCCCTGGGGTCACAGACACCAAGAAAAGAAAAGGAAAGAGGCAAGAGGGAGGTGGCAAGATTTACAGCGGAAAAGAAAGACAAGACCAGGATGCTGTTGGCTGGAAAGACTCAGAATGAAAACTGGATGCTTGAATGCATTCAGCTGCTAAATCTGAACCAGCACTGCTGCTTTTTTTTTTTTTAATTTTCTTCATTTTAATTTTTTGATGATTTTTACCCAGCTTGATGGAGGTATAGCTGACATAACATATAAGTTTAAGGTGTACAAAGTGTTGATTTGACACACATATATTGCAAAATGATTACCACCATAACTTCAGCTAACACCTCCATCCTGTCACATAATTACCATTTCTTTTTTGTGGTAAGGACATTTAAGATCTACTCTGTTAGCCACTGTGGCCTTTTAAAATGTGTTCCTGCATTATGCTCTACCAGCTTCCCGGCAAGAGGCTGAGACTTATCCAGTGAACAAGGCCAACTTCTGCTGGCCTTGCTTATGGCCTCAGGCCCAGGGTTGAACAGAGCTGCGTCTAAGAGTCATAGATTCCCTTTGGGAAAAGCCAGAATAAGCTAGAAATGTTAGGAAACATGTTCCCAGTTTAAAGAGGAGATGTTTAATTACTCCTCTTTATTCTGTACTAAACTCTTCCTCCCTCCAGGCTAAATTAAGGGAACATTGACACCAGCTGCAGGAAAGAGGTGCCAACCTTTCCCTAAGCTAACAGGAAGGTGATGGCGCCAGCTGTGGGCTGTGAGCTCTTAAGTGTCAATAAGAGAAGATAAGATGAGCAGTAAGGAAGAGTCCTCACTGCTTCTGTGCACCTCACTCGCTCCCTCCTGAGACTGAAGGGACAGCATCACACAGATTTCTCCCAGCTTTCTTTCCTTTGCCTAGAGCGGGCTTTACTTACTCAGGATCAGGGGCAACGAGGGCCCAGTAACAGAAAGTGATTTAAGCGTGTGGAGGGCAGAAAAGACCAGCAAGTCGGCCCCCCTGGTTCTCGGCACCAGCAAGCCTGACTCGGCAGTTTTCTGGAAGCGCTTCCCAAGCCTTTCAGCAGTAAGTCTCCTCATGCACTGAGCTTGCTGTCTGTCCCATGCCATGGTTGTTTTTGTTGTTAATATTATTTACTTATTTACTTTTTCTGATTGCAGCTTTGCCTTTTAGGAGGGCCCACACCAGACCGGGAATAACTATGAAATATTGATCCTTAATTCTCTTCAGCAGTGCCGATCCCCCTGCCTGACCACGGAGACCGGGATGACCCCGCTGCCCCGGGGAGACCTGGCCCTCAGGGAGGGCGCTCCATGTCCTCGCCCTGTCCCTACCACCACGAATGTGGGCCCGGGACCTCCTCTTCACAATCCTACTAAGTACCAAATTGTTTTAGACCCTTTACTTTCTGTAAGCCCCCGGATATTTGACTAAACAGATCAGAGCCGCCTAAATGTTTTCACCCACCTTTCCTTCCTTCTCCACTGACTCTGAGGAAGATCCTTTTTTTTTTTCTGGCCCAAGGGAAAAGTTATGCCCTTGTTACCACCCTGTCCTTTCATGTCCTCCAGGTAGACAGCCTATGAATTGCTCCTTTAGCCATTGAAAGGCTCTCCTCTTCTAGATCCTTCCCTCCTCGAGGCAGTAATGGACAATTCTCTCCAGGCTAAGCATACTACACAGCACATAGTATGTGCTCAATTCAGTATGTGCCCAATTAATGTCTTACTAAGTAAGATATTAAGATATTGGAAAAAAAATATGCAGCCTCTCTCTCAAGCAGGGCAGCCATGTTACACAATTACAGGGGGGCACAGCTATGTGTTATTCTATCTGACCAGCACCCCCTAGAGTTGTACACTGGAAGAGTATTGCTGTCAAATACATTTTGCAGAACAACTGTCACAGGATTCACACAGTATTTTTATAACAGGACCCTACAAAGAATGAGTTTCTTCTGAAAACCAGTTTTAAAAAGTAACTCATTCCCATCCAAGAATAAGAATCAGTCACATTCTGAAAGTTTTACCTCCAAACTCAGGGAGAGAGGAAAATAAAACCCATGTACAGATAGATACCTTATCACTTTATTACAACTCTAAGAACTTTTCATCCTATGAAAGAAAACATGTTTGGAGGAATAGCAAAATATTTACAGAAAGTCTGTGCTGGTACATTGCTTTTAGAAGAAAGAATTCCAAAACCAAATGATCCTAACACTAATCCAATATGTTTGATTTGGGAGTTCTTTGCCAAGACTTGACTCCACGCATAGATAAATCAAGTAAATTCACTGGACCAAATCTTTAGAATTGCTGTTTCCAGAGCTTCAGGAATCACGAAGGAATCTAGGTGTGTAACTGAACAGGATCTTAGCCTAAGACTTTTGCCAAAACATATAAATACTTCTAGACACTCCTTTTACATGTACAAGAAACCTACATAAATCTAACTTTCAGAGAATGCCTCCTTTAGATATATTTACCTGGACATGCTTCATAGACTGAGTAATTACATTTGATGGACAGAGACTAAACTGAGATTTTAAGTAAATGAAAGTTGGGTGTACAAAAAAAAGAAAAAAGGAATGTGGGAGGAGTTTAAGTCAGGCCTCAGATCTACACTTGATAGAAAAGACAATTTCCTTATTCTTGAGTGGTATAGCTATCCTGAACTACAGGCAGACCTTGTCTGACTAGAGAACTGAGTCTTTTAGCCAATCATTTGCTAACCTTTGGGGGAAGCTTACCAAAAATAACCAGGGCCTGCCAAATGTGCTGTCCTTCACTGGATTGGCTCTAAGTGGTTAACACTGCCGATGACTCAGTCTTAAGAGAAACTGTGGAGCTGTCCACCTGTCTAAATTCATGACAGTTTAAGGAAGACCAGCCTTTCTCTCCCTTGCTGAAAATTTAATGACTTGCTATTGCCTTCCTGTTAAAGCTCACAATCCTTAGCCTGAAAAAAAGATAGATGATTTACATAAATTTGTGTTTGCCTCTCCAGCTGCATTTTTGGACAATCTTCCCACCTCTGAGTCTCTGTGCACATGTGTGTATAAATATGTGCGCACACACATCCACGCCCCCCCACCCCCCACACTCTGTACTCAGATATCCAGCCATACTCAACTACGGTAATAGTTGTCATGGAAATGCGCCCCTTCTCTTCATCCTCATTCCTTTGCATGTGCTGATCTCTCCGCTTGGGATAGCTTCCCTTTTCTCATGCACCTGCCTAACTTCTATCCCTCTTCTGAGACTCCTCTGGCGTAGTTATCTGTTTTTTGTAAATACCCCATCGCAGCATGTATTATAGTTTCCTATTTGGCTATATTTTCTCTCAATATCCTACAACTTTGCGAATGAGAACTTCAAACCTGGCTTAGTAAAGACATGTAAGCAAACACTAGATGTTAACTCAATCCTCTCCTAACCAATCTTATAATTCCTTTCATTGCTACCCACTCGAACAGGGCAGAATAGGTAATAGACATATATTAAATAAATGGCGAATACTACAGATAGTCAAATAAAACTTTAGCTCATATGATTCTTGATTCCCTTTAGGTTTATGGCTTGAGAATTTGAAAAAAACTGGTAAATCTGCTGAACCAATCTACACAAGTCAGTGCAAACTACATATTATACAGATTATGGGAACGCTCAGAAAGAAGTGTTGCCAATTTGGGAAGGTTTGATGGAAGTTCGCACATTTTGATGAAACTAATGGACATAAAAGATGTCAGTGATAGGAAATAGACACAGGGTAAGTAGAATGTACATCGGAGGGAAAAGAAAAGGAAAAAAAATGCCCACGTGGTTTGTCTTCCTTGCACAGAAACCTGCTAGAAGCAAAGAGTGACTTGGAAAGGGATCTACTGTGCTACCAACCAACCTCAGGCCAGTCCTTACCCTCTGGCCTGGCGAGCCATCGCGTCCTGGTGAACCAACAGCTCCCGGGATACCCTAGGATGAACAAGGACCCAAATCAGTCAGATCCATTGACACCAGCTGCCCTTTCACCCAGGTTCCCTGAAATAGATCAAGGCCTCCAAACAAACCTACCAGCATAAAGGCGAGGCCTTTGTGACTCAGAATTCAGAACCCAGAACTTATTTATAGGAAAAGACTGTCACCCAGTAGGGCTCACCTGGGGAGCATCACTATGGCCCTCAGAAGAGGCTCACAGCACACAAATACACACTAATAGTCTTTACCATAGAAACCACTTAATGCCAAAATCACAGCTGACTTCAGGCTACAGCCCTTCTCCCTCACTTGGCAAAGCTGTAGAACTGAGAGCAACAGGCTAAAAAAATTTAAGTAATACCTGTGGGCCAGGAAGGCCAGTATCTCCTTTCTCTCCTTTTTCACCTGTCATTCCCTAAATAACCAAAAGTATATTGGGTTAAGTTCACATCAGTAAATTCCTATTCTTTTCTTGCTTTCTACTGACCTAACATTTTCAACATTAAATTGCTTTCACAGTAATATTCAAATACAGTGTATTTCACTCATCATATATGCTACACCACTTACGTAAGCATTCCTATGGAGCTGAAGGTTTATATATCAGAATAGTTTCAACACAGAATATACAGTCTGATATGGTTAAGCCTATACTGTAAATATGTGGAAGGGAGACTTCAATGTTGTTTATAGTTCAGATTTTTAAAGTTTACCTTTATGTAAATTTGTTTGTTTTGACTAGAAATTTTTAAGAATAGAAAAGCAAACAGAACCTGGCAGGTAGCAAGACCTTAACAAAGACTTATTAGTAGTAGTAGTAATTGTACAAATTGTCATGCTAATGTTTTTTAAAATGTGAAAATAACCCTAGAACAGAAAACTTCTAGCTAGGAAGATACAATCGGATATACAGAAAGACTGCTAAAAATGTGCTTGAAGAGATCTGTATCTTTCAAATAATAATTTTACTTAAAAGAGATTTGTTTTATTCTTTAAATCTAGATTCCTACACAAAATTAATAAAGATCAGTGAGTGAATTAAATTTGTTTTAATTTTTTTACAGAACTTTTACAAAGAAATATGGATGTATAAGGTACACTGTCTGTAATCTAAAATTCATACTAAGTGCACAGCACTTTAATGCCCATTGAGATAAAATCACAAATAAATGGCTTTCTTGAATCTACATAGACAATTACTACAAACACATAATGAAAAACAAATTTGTATAACATCTGTTACTTTCTAGATTTTATCACATCCACAAATCAAACAAGAAAATAAGAAAAAGGGCAATACATGTCAACCTTTGGTTTTTTTCTATTGACAAACTGCTCATACCTACTGCTTGGGCATGTATCTGCATTGAATGAAAGATTGGCTAATGAATGAACCCCAATCATTACTTTCAATTCATTTCTTAATTCTTATTTTTAGGGTGTGGAAGGGATGGAGGCTCATAATTAAGGCACACAAGATAGAAGTTCATTCTTTGTAACCCATGGAAAAGTGATAACAATAAAATCCATCTGCATGTTTACACCCAACTCACAGGCATTCCTTGGATGGACAGACCACTTGGTCCCTGGGGCCCAGGGGGACCCTGAGGTCCTGCAGGGCCTGTTTCACCCCGAGGGCCTTCTGGTCCCTAGAAGGCAAGAGAGGAAAGTCATCCCAGATATAAGTTAGACCCTCTGGTACCCAAAAGATATTTCTGCTTAGGGTACTTAAATTTCCTTGTACAACTTTTCCTAATACATGAAACCTCACAGGATAAGACACCAAGCCTCAGACGATTCACCTCCCAGGCAAAATGTCATCAGTAAATCAAAAGAGTAAACACACAGGGTTGCTTCAACTTTATCTTTGTTTTGCTTCCATAACTAAAAACACTGTGCCAATTATGTGAGTAACTAGACCCCCCACACTCCCTAACAAATCCAAAAGAATGAGTGCTTTAAGGCCGCCCTCCTGCTCTGTGAAGGTTCGCAGCATCCAGCTGAACCACCTTCTCTCCACCTTCACACTGTCAAGGCCTATCTCAGGGCCACCCCTCTGCATTCATAGAAAGACATCGCACCTAGCCTCTGCTTTCTTCCTCACCTTGATCCTGCCATCACCCAATGCCTCTTCAATGTCCACTGAGTAACCTGTCCTAGGCTCAGTATGATTTGATTTCCTTTTTTTTTCAGGATCAGACATTCCTTCCACTTAAGCAAATCTTACTTCTATAGTTTGGACCCAGTGCTCTAGCTAAAGCTACACTGCCTCTAATCTTAGACCCAGAAAAACTACATATTCTCATATATTTTTCTTGTTCTGTGACTCCAGTGAAGGCTATTCATTTATCGTTAAGACTTCCAACACCTGGGTATCATCTTAAATGTGAGACTGGTGAATCCATTACTTGGGACAAGCAATACAGAAGGAAAATAGCATAAAGTGGGGGTACATAATGAGTGCAGCCTTTACATGTTAGATGCATGGTCACAATCATGCAGAAATGCCCAGTAGTCAAGGCATCAAGAGGGTCTGAGAAGGGATGGACTTTTGAAGGTGTATTTGTGGGTTAGGTTATTAAGAAGACTGATGATGATAGGGTGAAAGAGGAAAGGGATAAAGATGAGATGAAAATCAGTAGATGCGAGAGGAAGAGAAGCCTGGGAAAGAATCTGAAATGAAAAGGCCTACAAATGAGAGGGAGAGTAATGATAGAGTGGTGAAGTGGTGAAGGAGAGGCCAAAAGAGGAGGGAATGTCAAATAGAGAGGCATCCAACCATGTCAAATGCTGCAGAGAATACAAGATTATAATTAAGCCATAGCCCATGGGTTTGGTAACAAGGAGGTAATTGGTGACTTTAATAATAGCAATTTCACAGGACTCTTGGGGGAATAGAAATCCTATGTGGGTTAAGAATGATTGTTGTGTGTATAAATGGAACTATACACTATGAGCTCCTTTGTTTCTTGCTTCTTTCATGCAGCAGAGCGTTTTCGAGGTTCATCCACTCTGTTGCATGTTTCAGTTCTATGTTCCTTTTGATGGCTCAGTAGTATTCCATTGCATGGGTTTACAGAAAATTGTTCATTTATTTACTGATGGACATTTGGATTGTCCCAGTCTTTTTGCTATGGTGAACAAAGGTGCTGTGAACACTTATGTGCCAAAAAATAAAATAAAAGAATTATTTTGTAGGTGAGGATATAGAAAATGAAAGAAAACTATTTTTACAAGAAACATGGTATAAAAGGAGGGGGGGAGAGAGGTACCTATAATTTTTAAAATACAATGGAAGGGATAAGAAGGTAATTTACAGCTATTATATAATATTTATAATAGTTTATAACATCTATATTTTATTGAGGAATTAAAAATGGAGCAGAAGGGCAGAAAATTGGTGTTCTCATTTTATTCTGCAAAGTATGAGACAAAAATGACTAGAAAAGAGCAGTAACAGGGCTACTTTGAGCTTCTAAATCTTTGTTATCTCTTTGCTGGCACTGAAATTCAGAGTCACAAAATAGAAAACAATACATTTTAGGGTGCTCCATATGAAAGCTATAATTTATCTGTTCCTACACTATCCACATTGGTGGACATGTGAACATACTTTGTCCAATAAGATTTTTGCCTAAAAAAATTTGCATCTGTGATTCATCAAATCAGCATACAGTAGTAACCACATCAGTAGTGGTCCAGTGGGGATGGATTATTAGAGGAAAGGGGTAAATATTGAGATCATCAAACATCTGTGAACTCCTAATACATCTGCATGATCAGAACCATCATCCAGTGAAAATGTTAGACAAACAGTAGGATCATGCTGGGACCCCAGAGGGAGGGGAAGCCGGAGTCTACAGGAGCTCATGGGTCCTGTCCTTGGATGAAACGAAGGAAGACCCAGGGTACCCCTGCCTGAGAAGAGGCTTTCAAACCACCAGTCTTCTCTGTAGCACCATAAGGGACACAACCAAGGAAAACACATCAAGTCTATGCCTAAGGAAATGTGTCACAATCCAAGAAAACACAAAAATAAATTTAAAAAAAAGAGGTCTCTTCTGGTCTGAGTTTTAAGTTGGCTAGTATCTGATTAATTGATTATCTTCAGCCTTCTTTCACTTACTTCTCCCCCACATTCTCTCCTACCTTGCTTCACTTGTTTCCAATTTTATAGTACAAAACCTTGCAATGTTCTTTTTTCCATGAATACATGCTATGCAAATGTAATAAGTAACCATAGTGAAGCAGTAAGTCAAGCAAGTTGGATGGAGAGGAGATCACGTGGAGCAACATGGTGAAATTGAGACAGGGAGTGAAATTATAAAGCGCTTTGAATGCCATGCCAAGGAGGGTGAATTGTATTCTAAAGGCAACAGCATAGGACTACAAATTTTAAGGGTGTGCTATGATCTGGCATATCTTTAAACAAATTAATCTGGGGACAGATGTGAAGTATCACTGAAGCCACTGAAGCCAGGAGACAAGCTACAAGATTTGACAAAAGCCAGAGGATGGTGAGGCCTGCACTCAATTTCTGGTTGGGCTTCTGCAATCCCTTAGGGGTTCTTATAAAGTAGGAAAATGTGTGCCTTGACAGGCTCGGCATGGCTCTGTCCTCTTAGCTGGTGCCTTTGTACAGTGTAGAACCTGAACCACCAGACTTGGTGGCCTTTGGCAGTAAGAATGGAAACTATAGCTGTGTGTTTGATTATCCACAGTGGGAAGGGAGACAGGGAATCTAAAACCTGAGAAATTACCTGGGAGGACCACTGCCTGCTGGTGACTTAGTGACCCCCGCCCCCCAGGATACCTCTTTGTTGTAGAGAGAGGGAAAGAAGAATGTACCAGAGAAGAACTAGTACCTTGGAGATTAACTGCTCAGAACATTGATGCTGTATTTCTGACACAGAAACTTTTCTTTTCACTAAGTTATTAAATGAATTTTTGATGAAAAGCACAAATCTTTAAGGGAAAAGGCTTAGATACAACTTCTATAAAAATATAAGGAGCTTTAGATTGCAAAGGGTACAAGGTTCTTAATCCAACATTATGTTATAGCTATTTACAGGCGAGAGAGAGAGAGAACATTACCTTTGGGCCTTGATCCCCTCGTTGGCCCTTCGGTCCTCGGAGTCCGGGACCACCCTGGCAACAGATGTTAAGTATTAGCACAAAGACAAACCTTAAAGCAGTATATTTTATCCATTTGTCTTAATAATATAGATGACATCATTCTTATTTTGTATGAAGGCCGACACACTGTGTAATGGTTTGTGTTCATCATCATCCTTCACTGGAAAATTGCCAGCCAGGCTCACCTCTCCCTGCTGATGTCATACATTGAGAAAACTTCCTATGCCAACTCCTTTCAAATTAAAAAAAGTTACAGGTTTTTGAATTTAGTATGTAAGACTGTTATTAATGGATGCAAATAATAAAATATACCATTAATCTAATACTGTGTAGGTCTTATACTACAACTTTGAGATTGAATTATTTAATTGTAAGAAAACATGAAAGTATCAATTTAACTATTTATTTCTACCATGAACAAGCTAATTAGACTAGTGTTTCTGAAACTTTATTTTCATTTCCCCTCAAGATTTTTGTCATATTAATGCACCACCTGTACTTATTTAATAGCATTTTTCTTTATATAGATCTATATGTACATACATAATAAATATGTATATATGTGTATATGTATTCTTTGCAAACATATTCTTGGCATATATGTATATAAATATATATGTGCATACATTCTGAATATTGTTTAATTGGCTATTTTATAAGCAAATACTATAGCACTACAGTAGATGGAAAAATGTATTACTAAGAATAGAAGGTTAACCTTAAAAATCTACAATAAATAATGTTATCAAATTGAGCTGGATTTTGTTCCTATTGAAGACTGTGAGTCATGGGCTTGCTCTTTGTTAAGAAGGGAGATGAGTGTTAGAGGGGTCATGTGGGTGCCAGACTGAGACTATTGCTTTCACCTGGCTGAAGGATTAAATGATTACTGGAAATAGGATAGCTTTCTCGCCATGTGATTCCAATTTAGTTCCTGCTACATCATGACTACTGAAAATGATTTTCTGTATCAGGGCAGAACCCTTGTCTCATCTGGGAAAGGACAGAATCAGGTGACCTTTAAGGTTTCTTCCAGCTTGATTTAACAGCTTAAATTCACTCCCCTCCCCAGGAGCAGTTGGTTACTTATCTTCCAGACTTTTAAAATGCTATTATAAAACTGCATTTTACATATGTGTATATGCAGCTATAGAAAAGATTACCTATAGTACTTTTGTGGTATTATTTGATGTATTTCTGGGGTTTTTTAACTTAATATGTTTTAGAGATTTTTTCCATGACATAGCATATGGGTCTAACTTATTCTTAATGAATTACATAGTTTTCTGAATGATGGATATATAATAATTTCTTTAACCATTCTCCTATTACTGGAAATACAGGGGATTTTCCCACAATTTCTTTGCTGCTTAAACCATACAACAATTAATATCCTTATACAGCCCTGAAGTACAAATTTTAATACTGAGAACAAAATGTTAATACTTAAGATGTCCACAAGTAGAATTATAACTGAAATTTGATGGATAGGTATACGTATTACCAAACCACACTCCGAAACAGCCGAACCAGTCCAATCCTCTGCCCAGAGTTTAAGGGGGGTCTCTGTTTCTCTACACCTTACCCAATACGTGATACTGAAGGCGAGCAGAATTTGTCACCCCAGGAAGTGCTTCTTTGGCATAAGGATTATTTTAGGCTGATTATTTCTAAGAAACTGCAGACACAGGAGAAGCCCTGAAAACCGAGTAAATGTTACCCTTTTGTAAGAGACATTTACACTCATAAGTGAAATCTATTTCAAAGGTGTCCCCCTCGGTGTACCAGGAAGAGAAGGACGATTTAAAATCCCTAGAAACTCTCACTGATGGAGAAGATCAATCCTCACAGCCACCTTTCCCCTGCACACAGTGCTCTGCTGGGTGCCCGCCCACTAATGACATCATCTTTTGTCTTTAGGTGAAGATGGTATTTGCAGTGATTGTCTTGGCCATTTCTGGGAGTTTCTCAGTTTTCTCTGGTATCTCCCATGTGCATAGAAGTTTATACATGTTATTAAACTTTTGTTTGTTTTTATCCTGTTAATCTATCTTTTTATAAGGGGGGGAGGGGATCTCAGCCAAGAATCTAAAAGGGTAGAAGGGAAATTATATTTCCTCCTCCACAATATTGTAAATCTACATTTTCAACAAACCAATTGGTAAAAATATAACCTTACTCTTATTTTAATTTTCATTTCCTTTAAAACTACTATGATTGAGCATCTTCTCATAATGTTTGTCCATTTGGATTTTATCTCAGTACAACTACCTATTTATATATATACTTTTTTTCAGTTTTCTGTTGTGTTGTGTGTCTTTTTCTCTTTAATGTGAAGAAATTCTTCATGTATTTGGACAGCACTCCTTTAACTGTTATTTATATATATAATGCAACTATTTCCCCCATGTGACAGACACCATTGTTTAGCTACCAAAGATTCTTTCCTGACTTCCTTCTCCATTTTATTTCTCCTACTATAAAGGTTAACAGAGCCAGAAATTTCCTTGCCCAGATTCTTTTGCAACCAGGAATGGGCATGTTAAACCAGTTTGGGCCAATTTGATCAAGATGCCACAAGACTAAGGAAAGCAAATTGGAAAGCTGACACAGGCTTGGGTCCTCAAAGTCGTAGAGCAGCCACATACACCTTGGAACCACTGACCTTTCAATTTTCCATTGAGCAAACAGTGAACCTCCGAATGTCCCAGTGGTTTACACCAGCTTTTCTGTTCCTTGCAGCAAAATCCAATGCAACCCACTTAACATACCCATTCTGATGCAACTCTTTGTTTCTGCATCTTAAATGGTTGGTTTTTAATGGAAGATTTTGTTCAAATGTGACTAATTGGCTCACACATATTCATGCACCATGTCTAGAAACCAGGAACCTTTTTAACATTCAAATTTATTTTCCACCTATCCCCAGTCCTCATTACTGAGCACATGACAAGAACTCAACAATTTCTCTAGATGCAAACTTCCATCCTTGCCATAAGAAAGGGTTAGTCTAGACCAAGGGAATGTGGCTTTTACACCCATGTCTTCCTACAGCTCCTTTAAGGCTTTATTGACACATAACACCACTGTGTGTATTCTTGAT